TATGGTGAGGGGGCGTAACATTTCCGTCACACACTTGAGGTATTCGTCCAATCACAACACACTAGATAGCTGGCCAATCAGAGCACACCTCACTTTTCAGACCGATGAGTTTTGTAAAAATCGATGCGTTTCAGAAAGGCGGGGCATAGAGGAGAAACAATAATGTACAGCATGTGGAAAATAATGTGGGTTTTTTTTACCTTAAACCGCATAAACACATTTCATTACACCAAATACACAAAATAATGTTCTTTTTAGCAACGTAATATGACTCCTTTAATTGACCCATCACATTAGCAGTGTTATTTATGTATCATTTACTATAGTTTTTTATTAATATTTGAAATTAGTTTGTATTTGTATATTTTACATTTTAATTTTAAATGCAGTTAAAATTTTAGCAATTTTGTTGTGTTTCTAACATTTTTATTAGTTTAAATTAGTCCATAATTATATTTTATTAGTCTATAATTCTGATTTTATTTTAGTCTTAGTTATTTTAGAAAATTATGCTAAAAGAAAATAAGAAATTATCTCTTGGTAACTAGCTGAAAAAAAAATTGAATAAATAAATAATATATTACGATGTTTTTTATTTTATTTCAGTTCACGTTTATTTTTTCAAGTAACAAAAAAATTGTTTTATATGTTTGTAGTTTTAATTTTAGCTTTAGTTGACAATAACCCTGCACATTAGCAATGTGTATAAAGTGCTCTGTGCTAAACCCGAAAATTAACGACAAACAAACCAGAAGACAGTAACTAAACATTACTACAGAATATATACAAACATCAATGCATATATTTGTCATGTCACACTTACTTTATCAAGCTCCTCATTCCAGAGCTGATCGGAAGAGAGCGACATAAACAGAAAGACATGACAAGATAAGAGCACAGAGAGCATTACAATGATAAGAAGTATTAAACTCAAGCTGTGTTTAATTACAGCAGAACACAAAGGAACAAAGTGTGACTGTTAATATAATTCAGAATGCTGACATCTCTGAGGACCAAACTATAAATGATGAAAGTAAACATGTGAAATAAAAGCAGAAAAATGTGTGATTAGTTTTGTTATAGTGGTAAGTATTAGGTTGCTCATTTACATCCTTAATGCATGAGGGTGAAGCATGTAGAAGTTATGGAAGGATATTTCTGCCACGGAATAAACAAACTAAAAAGGTAATTGTGACTTTTTGATTCTTAGAATCTTGCAAATGTAAGTTATAATCTCATAATTGCAGGTTTATGTCTCACAATTCTGACTTTTTTCTTAGAATTCTGAGTTTACGTCTCGCAATTCTGTTTTTTTGTTTCTATTACCGAACAAAAAACATTATAAAAGGTATCTGTGACTTTTTCTCTCACAATGCTGACTTTGTTTTCTCTAGCAAATTTGAGAGTTTGTATCTCACAATTCTGAATATATATCTTACAATATTTACCTTTTCTCTCAGAATTGTGAAAAAAAAAAGTCTGGTCTATGAG